CCCCAAAACCCCAAAACCCCAAAACCCCAAAACCCCAAAACCCCAAAACCCCAAAAATCTGCAAATTTATTGAAATATTTATTTATCCCAATATGATTTTGACTTCTCTCCTCGGACTGGGAGCTAGTGCAGACATCGAGATTGAGCTTGACAATAACGAAAGCAGAAAGACAACCATGATTAAGGACCGTAATGATAACCAGAAGATGGCCTATATTTATCAAGTAAGAGATTAGCTTAGATTCTATCCAAAGATTCTTTCTGAACTCTCCTGGCAAAAAGCTAATCCTTCTGTTATAGGATAAAGAAAGCATTTCAGGCAGATGTGCTATCTACTTGAAAAACTCCAAGAGTATTGACCACCAAGGTATCAGGGTAGACTTGATCGGAATGATTGAGAACTTTTATGATAAATCTCAAAATCTGAAATTCTTAACTCTTTCAAGAGAGCTAGAACCACCAGGTACTCTCTCCGAAAACACCACTTGTGAATTCAATTTCAACAACGTGGAGATGGAATACGAGAGCTACTGTGGTATCTGTGTCAGGGTCAGATACTTCATCCAGATCAGTATCAACAGAAGCTATGGAACCATAAAGGAAGACCATGAATTTGTAGTGTTCAATCCCTCCACAGAGCCTGATACTAATCATAAGTTGAGAATGGAGGTGGGTATTGAAGAATGTCTCCACATCGAATTTGAATACCAGAGCTCTAAATATACTCTTAAAGATGTAGTTGTCGGAAAAGTGCATTTCAACCTAGTCAGAATTAAGATAAAGCAAATGGAGCTAGCCATTGTGAGAAAAGAAACAGTCGGGTCTGGCCAAGCAAGTGAAACTCAAAAAGAGACTTTAAGCAAATATGAAGTAATGGATGGAGCTCCTGTTAAAGGCGAAGAGATTCCTATCAGATATTACCTAGCAGGAATTGATTTGACGCCAACCTACCTCAACGTGAGCAAGAGATTCAGCACAAAGTATTACTTGAGCTTGATCCTGATTGATAGCGAGGATAGGAGATACTTTAAGGAACAAGAAATAGTGCTGTGGAGAGACAAACTTTAGAACTAATAAAATTCAATTTTAGCTGCAGTATAAGGGGTTTTGGGGTTTTGGGGTTTTGGGGTTTTGGGGTTTTGGGG